TAGAAGAATTAAAGAGTTATATTATTGCAATGTCCTCTTTACAAATCCTCTCAAAGATCCAAACTGAACCAGCAAATTATTAGCTTAAAACTGTTTCTATCAACCACTATGTTTGTTTTATTTGTTGAATTCAATATCGAAGCGTGCGCTTGTATTTTATTATTCTTGAGAAAACATGTAATATAAATTATATTAATATATATAATATATTATATTAATATAAATTAAATTATGTAATATAAATTATTAATACAAATTATAAATTATGTAATATAAATTATTAATATAAATTATTAAAATATTTTAATATTTTGTATTATAAATTACAGTAAATTCTCTCTAATTATCCCTCAGATTGTAAACAATAATGGACAATTTGGAAAGAGGATATATGATTATTCGATCCTCGCGGCTCGTTTTTATATTCCTCGATTGTCAACAACTATGAAGCCGCGAGGTTCGAATAATCGTATTTCAACTTCTAAATTGCCCATTTTTGTTTACAAGCTGCCGGACAATTGAAGAGAATTTATTGAACTGTTTAAGGTTTATGATTAAGTACACTCACTTTACTATATAACGAATAAATCTGAGATTTGGAAACTAATAATAAAAAGAAATGAAATCACGTACTGAATGGGTGATATGCGAAAAAAGAAGGTTGAAAACCAGTGCTACAGACCATTCGGTCACATGTTCATAAACAGTCGAACGTCGCGTCGCTAGAAATCTGGAGTTAGCCCCTTTCCTACTCGCATATTTCAACTACAGAGTAGCAAACTAAAGCACATTCGTCGTATGTAGGTCTGATTGGACCCTGAGTTCGTCATACGGTCGGTTGCCAGACGGTATATTGTGCGAGAATTAACGAAACGCGTGAAACTATTCTAACTTTACTTTACGGGTCCAGAGATTTTTGGCTCTTTCATGTATGTTTCCGTAGATTTTGTCGAGAAAACTGCAAAAAATCAAGTCCCAAGGCGTGCAAACCATTGGTTCAAAAGTTATACGCGTTCGAAGTTGACGCAAACTAACCCTAAACCTTAAAGCAAAGATTAGCTGAATAAAATATATAGAGCATTCGAATTATAATACCAAAATGACTACTCATCCATGCTTGTGCTGCCATCTGGCGGCTATTGTGAGGAATTTTTTAAATATTTGTGCTGTCGTCTAACGGCGCCACTCACAGAACTACGTTCTCGAACGGAGTACGTCGCCCAACATGTCAAAAACGCTTGAAATTCGTCAACTTTGAACGCGCCTATCTTTCGAACCAATGATTTACGCACCTTGGGACTTGAATTTTTTGTGTTTCCTCGACAAGCTCTACGGGAGTATGCATAAAAGAGCCAAAAATTTCTGGTCCCTTAAACTAAAGATTAACCCGTGAAAATGTAAATAAATGATCAGAAACTAGATGATCGAGTAACAATATTTCTACACGGAGTCCTACTGAACCCAAGTCCCGCCGTCCGACTGTTAAACCAAAACAGCGCGAATAAGACGATATATCTCTGCTCGATGAGGTACATGTTCGCTTAAAACGTCGGCAAGAAGAACAATTCCGCGCGATCCTCGAAGAAACCCACACCACTCGACAATCCCCAACCGCGGTGCAGCACAGCGCTTAATGATCTACGATCGCAAAAAGCTGGCCACGCCTCGGGACAATACATCACCGTAGCGTGGCGGTTATAGGAGTACCTCTAAAAAAGCTCGTCAGCGTAGACTACACGATGGCATACTCACACAGTGAAATGATAGACGAAGCAGATCCACCCGCCGGGATGTTCGAGGAACACGTAGAGTCTCTCCTGGAAGGTCTTGCCCTTCTTGTGGTGGAACAGGTACTTGGCCTTGAAGGCCTGGTCGATGGGCAAGTAGATAGGGTAGTAAGGGTCTGGTACGCCGGCTTGGTTCAGGCTGGCCGGCTCCATCTCCGCAGCGTTCATCTCGCTGTCGATGATATCATCCTTGCTCTTCTTCCGGCGGTATTTCCGCTTCATCGGCGTCGGCACCCTCTTGTGATGGCCCTCGCCGAACCGCGGCGACCGGAACCGCCTTAGGAAGGTGAACCGGCGGGTGGGTGACACCGGCTCCTCCATCTGGCCGCCGTTGTCCTCGGTGTCCTCCGTCTCGCTGCCAGGCGTCTTCAAGGCCGCGTCCTCAGACTCGAGACAGTGCTCTGCCACCAGCTCGTCTTCGCTGCCCTGCAGGGCAGCGTAGGCGGCCGCGGCGCTAGACCGCTTCTCCGTCAGCCGAGAGCATTGGTCCTTGCTTCGTGGAAGACTCTCAAGGTTCTCACCTAAGTGCACACCGTCGCACCACATTGCCGAGAGCGTTCCAAACCGACGAACAAACCGTTTCCCTCGAGCGTACTCTTTTCCTTTTTTTCCGGGTATAACGTCGTAAGCTATCGTGGATACTAGTAGGGTACAGGAGCCAATTACTGTGTCCAGTTCGCGAACTTCTGGACTACTCAATGAACCTTTCTTAACCGTTTGACTGCCATCGTGATGTCGTATGGAGTCGCCAATGTTGTATTTTGGAGAATAGGGTAAGTGTGTCAATTACTGTTCCCATTAAATTGATGTTCGAAGTTCTCGAAAAATTAAGTAGTTTTTTTTTTACTTATATTGCATCTCTTAAAACATTTCAATTGTACATCGATGTCTTTTATGTAAAAGCGAAGTTTTTCACAAGTGAAATATTTAACAGCTGGAAATACAGTAAGTTCTCTCGAATTGTCCCTTAGCTCCTAAACAAAAATGGACACTTTGAGAAAAGGAGACACGATTATCTGAGCCTTGCGGCTCATTTTTAGAGTCACCGATTGTCAACAACTACAAAAACGAGCCGCAAGGCTCAGATAATCGCGTCTCCTTTTCTGAAAGTATCCATTTTTGTTTAGGAGCTAAGGGACAATTGGAGAGAACTTACTGTATTTCCAGCTGTTAAATATTTCACTTGTGAAAAAATTCGCTTGTGAAGAAAAAACGAGCCGCAAGGCTCGGATAATCGTGTCTCCTTTTCTCAAAGTGTCCATTGTTGTGTACAATCTGAGCGTCAATTAGGAAGACTTTACTCTAATTATATATACAGATATATACAGGATGTCCCAAAAATGTCTCGCAATCCGAAAATGGTGGGTTCCTCGGATCATTTGAAGCAACTTCTTCCTTTACAAAAATTTTTTCCGAGGCACCGTTAACGAGTTATTAACGAAAAACAGTGACCAATNATGTCGTATGGAGTCGCCAATGTTGTATTTTGGAGAATAGGGTAAGTGTGTCAATTACTGTTCCCATTAAATTGATGTTCGAAGTTCTCGAAAAATTAAGTAGTTTTTTTTTTACTTATATTGCATCTCTTAAAACATTTCAATTGTACATCGATGTCTTTTATGTAAAAGCGAAGTTTTTCACAAGTGAAATATTTAACAGCTGGAAATACAGTAAGTTCTCTCGAATTGTCCCTTAGCTCCTAAACAAAAATGGACACTTTGAGAAAAGGAGACACGATTATCTGAGCCTTGCGGCTCATTTTTAGAGTCACCGATTGTCAACAACTACAAAAACGAGCCGCAAGGCTCAGATAATCGCGTCTCCTTTTCTGAAAGTATCCATTTTTGTTTAGGAGCTAAGGGACAATTGGAGAGAACTTACTGTATTTCCAGCTGTTAAATATTTCACTTGTGAAAAAATTCGCTTGTGAAGAAAAAACGAGCCGCAAGGCTCGGATAATCGTGTCTCCTTTTCTCAAAGTGTCCATTGTTGTGTACAATCTGAGCGTCAATTAGGAAGACTTTACTCTAATTATATATACAGATATATACAGGATGTCCCAAAAATGTCTCGCAATCCGAAAATGGTGGGTTCCTCGGATCATTTGAAGCAACTTCTTCCTTTACAAAAATTTTTTCCGAGGCACCGTTAACGAGTTATTAACGAAAAACAGTGACCAATAAGAATCGAGTACGGCTGACGCGGGGCGGCCTAGCCAACCAGCGCACGAAGCCTAGTTCCGCACATTGGCTCGGTCGCCTCGCGCCAGCCGAGCTCGCCTCTCATTGGTCACTGTTTTTCGGTAATAACTCGTTAACGGTGCCTAGGAGAAAATTTTTGTAAAGGAAGAAATTCCTTCAAATGACCTGAGGAACCTGCCACTTTCGGATTGCGAGACATTTTTGGGACACCCTGTATATATATATGATTAAAAGTTAATTACTGCGGGCCAGTTACCGAGTCTTTTCCAATTACCGTGCGACAATTTCTGTACACTAAATTAGTGTATCTATTTCTGTACACTCCCCTAATTACTGCCCTAACTCAGTTCTAGGTAAATAAACCTACTACAAAAATGTAAAAACGTGAAATATTTCGTATAATTTATTATGCAGGGTCTCGCGACAAATAACTCATAAAACATTCGTTGCAGGAAAAAATGTTTCGGACAGAAATTGCACGGTTTACAGCGAGACATGTAGTACTGTAATCAGATTTACGTTATTTTACTTTTTTTTATCAAGATACGAGGATCGCCTTCAATATTTTAAAAAATGCAATGATTTAAATTTCTAACTGAATTCGGATATAGCATTAAATTCTATATAAATAAGTATCGCATCAAATAGGATTGAAAATGAAAATTAGCGAAAATAAATTGTGTTGTATTAGACAAGACTGTTGACCAACGTGATTGCTAGCACAATGTAGCAGGACAACTTTGTTTTTAAGTGATTACTCTGTATCGGTAATGATTTGATTAATATCTCAGCAGCTAGTTATTTTGGATTCCGTTTGGTGTAATACTTTTTTTCGCAGAATTCAACGCTTTATCCGAACTCGAGAAGAAATGTAAGACATTCCATTTAAAAAATTGAAGGTGACCTTCGTATGTTGGTAAAAAAGCAAAACAACATAAAACCGATTATAGTACCGCATGTCTGGCTGTTAACCATGCAACTTCTATTTGAAAACATTTGGCCAAATAATTTTATGACTTCTTTTCCCAAAAATGTCTCGCAATCTGGAAATGACGGATTCCTGAGGCCATTTGAAGTAACTTTTTCCGTAGCGAAAATGCAAATCGCGGCTTTGTTTACGAGTTATTAACGAAAAACTCTGACCAATGAGACACCAACTCGTCTGCCGCGAGGCGGTCGAGCCAACGAGTGGTCGAAGCACCGTTCCGTTCATTGGCTCGTTAGCCTTGCCCCAGCCGAGGTCGCCTCTCATTGGTCAGTGTTTTTCATTAATAACTCGTAAACAAAGCCGCGGATAACATTTACGCTAAGAAAAAAGGACCCGAGGAATCACCCCTTTCAAGAAATTAAAATAATTATAGGACACCTTACATATGTACATTTGAAATAAAATGGGAAAAATGTAAGGTTATGTAATCCAATGAACAATGTCGCGTTGACGTTGCAAGAAAATCGTGAAGGAAAGTCAATTGCATATACACCTCAGAAATATAACACCCCGGAGTCAAACTTAAGAGCGAAAAAATTAGGACGAAATAATTGTCTACAGTCTACAGTGTTTGGCTCGCAGTAATAGACTGAATAACCACAGTAATTTATGCATAGGAACGGTTTCTTTATATCGCGTTCTTTTAACGAAATTTGTGCTTTCAGAGATCCTATCTATAATTCGAGAAAGTATAAATAATATCCAAGTTTAAACAACGATATAGCTCAAGTTGTCAATTTATTCGCGGAAAGCTCTTATTTTCTCTGTCAAAGTTCGTCTTCGTTGAGAAACCACAGTTATAACCACACTTACCCTATTATGCTCCCTCCCTGAATACTGAGCCTCAATAACTGTGCACAATAAAAATTCAATGTTCAACATACTTTAAATTTTATTTTCTATAAAAAAACATGTAATATCATAATAAGTCCTTTAAACGTTCACATTAGAGACGACTGCTTTGATTTTCATATTTACAATTTTTCTCTTCAAAAATATGACATGATAATTTGAGATTGGAGGTTAGGTAGGCCTAACCTATGGTAAACGGCGCAGTAACTAACGTATAGGGCGAAAATTAGGATCAGTTGACGTGCACAGTAAATAAACTACTGAAATTTGAAGTATATGCTATAATTAAAAAAAATTGCTGTTTCGATTTTTTCGATTGGTCAGTATTTTTCGTTAATAATTCGTAAACAAAGCCGTGGATTGCATTTTCGCTTAGGAAAAAGATACTTCAAATAACCTCAGGAATTCCTTATTTCCCGGAAGTATCATAACTTTAGGACACCTTATATATTATTTTGATATCAAAAAAAGCTTCGGAGTGCAAAGGGTTAACATTGAAATATTTTATCGAGTACGATTGACTTTACTGAATATTGATCTTCATTCGTTTAGTACTTTCTTAAACTTTTTTAATAAGCTTTAACAAGTAAATAATTAATTGAATTTAAGTAAAAACATTTAACATATCTAATTCGAGATGTAAGAAGTGAATTATGCTTGAAAATGAAAGAAAAACACAGTAATTGGCTAACTCGCGGTAACTGGCTCCTCTACCCTAAATGGCATGATTTTGGATGTCACGAGACTAGCGAATTCGTTAACTCTTGGCTGCTTGGAAGTTTGACTTTATTAGGAAACTAGGCTAATCTTCCGAAAACCTATTTCTGTTGAAAGGGTGTAACCAGTTGAAGATTTAAACAACTGATGAACTGCACGATAGATCATAAAAAGAATACGTTCTACGTAGAATTTGAATCCTGTATCGTGACCAGGGGGCGGGAGGGGAGGATAGTTACAGGGAGTCTTCAGTTCAACGGTTTTTAATCGATTTTCTGACGTATCATGGTTTCCGATTTTTGAGGTTATATTATAGGATCCTAGTTTTGTCAAATGAAAATCCTACAATGATCCCCATAAATAGATTCCGGAAAATTCTGTAAGAAATCTGAATTTTCCGGAATCTATATATATATATCGTAGCTTTAAAATAGCATATGGGTACAGAGAAAAGTAATTTAAATGCTGCTGAGAGTATATTTCAAAGTCAAGGTCATCGGAGCTGGGCCTATAATTGTCAATATTTATATTTTCTTTTCATGATCCATCAAATGTCTCAACAGATTAATTTTATATTAAGAACTCGTGTACTATCTCAAAATCATACTTTATCTTTGCTTCTTCGTGCATGAGCAAGTTGTACAAAAATTGTATGTTTTCGAAATTTATCTAATTTCATGTAGCAAACAACGAGTTTTCATAAAGCAGTCGAATCTCTTACTTTTTGTATCGAACACTTGACGTACGTCATGACTCGCGTGAA